TGGATTCTTCACGAAGCGTATTATTATCCCGGACGAGGTCATTTATGCCTACCCCGAAGAGCTAGCAGAAAGCACACCGACTTCTACACGCTCAGTCAGAGCTCCGGTGGAGGGCGATGAGTATCTTGACGATCCCGGTGATCTCGCGAATGCGAAGGAGACACTGGAACTGTGGGAAGAGGTTCTTGACGAGATTTTCCAAGACGATGAGATCAGTACCGAATACGCTCGTTCAAAAGAAAGTGTTGACGAGGTGAAGGTGAGCAAGCTCGAATCCATACCGCATCCAGTCAGAATTCCGTTCCCAAACGAAAACCTGGCCGACTTTCCTCGTGAGAATACCCTTCACGGTGTAGGATAATGCGTCCAACAAATGTCTTAAGCTGTCCTATTGTAACTTTTTTTTTATTAATTCGCAGTTCTGTCCTAAAAATGATCAAATCCTGTCGTACAGACTGACTTAGATTACGTCCTAAAACCTGTCCGAACCTGTTGTGCGTAATATTATGTGGACTACATCAAACTTTAATTCGAGCCGTGATAGTGACATTACATGTACACGTAGCAGATCTTTTTGCTGAGTAGTAGAGTTGAATATTCCTTTATGTACGTCCAATTACAGCTTCTTCGACGTTCATCAGCGCTACATCCAGCTGCAAAGTCTCAGAACAGCCGTCGTCATCACAGCGAATATGTCATGATCAAAACGAGCGGCGGTCTTCATTTGTCTTCGCCTAGATCAGATCCAGCTTCTTGTGTACTTGCCGCGCTTGGCAACCGAGAACTGCGAGACGAGGTGGGCGCTCTCCGCACAAGTTTCCACTTGGTAGTAGCCAGACCTTCCACGCCCAAGGGGCCACGGCCGTGAATGCGGCCAGTACTGATACCAATCTCTGCGCCAAGACCGAAGCGGTAGCCGCCAGCAAAGCGAGGGCTGGTGTTGTGAAGCACGCATGCGCTGTCGACCGTCAGCTGGAACGGATCGGCAGCAGTGGCGTACGTTGCACTCTGTGTGGCCACTGCTGAACTAGTTGATGTGAGCAACGACAGCACTAACACTGTTGACCATCTCGATTGTAAGGTCCGCGGAGCCGAGCTCTGTAGACAGCGTGTCTGTAGAGTGCGACTAGACAGTAGCAACGCTCAACTTGGCAACGTAGCGGTGTTGCGCAGGTTGGCGCCAGCCTCTCCTAGCATTACCAGGATCTCTATGTTCTACCCTTTGCTCGCCAACGATATATCGAGCAAGAACGTCTCAAGTGCATTACAACCTGCGAGGTAGTCCATCATGGCGTCAACAGCGAGCTCAATGGACTTCTTCACATCATCTGCACTGGGGATGTACGTATGTAGCAATCGAAGACGTATATTATGTCCATTTCAGTGTACTCGCCTCTAGGGATCTGTGTATTAGTAACAACAGCAACACTTGAGCGTCTCTAGCATGGCCGGGCCCTTCTCTCCGTCGTCCAAGACCGCTGCTGTTGGCAGTGTGAGTTCCTCTAATGAAGTGAACGTGGGGTCACTGGGATGTTACGAGACGATTACGTTGCTATCATGTTCCAGCTCGGCGGGATCCAGCGCAACAACATCGTCTTCGGGCTCCTACAGTGGCTGTTGATGAGATTACGCTGCGTGCTGGATCGCTAGCGAGCGCAATGGAAAAATGTGCGCGCTGGACGCGTATCCGTTTGCTTTATAGAACGGCAATATGGCAATATTTGCCGAATTTCTCCGCAGAATTTAAAGTTGGTGTGACCGGTTACGAACCCGTTCGCGAAGATCCTGGCGCGGTTGAGGATGCCTTGCGCAGTCAATGTCGATCTTCCTGTACAGCGGTCGACTGCTTTCCAGTACTATTAATACTCAGGTGGCGTGCTTACGGGTGCGAGCTGCGATAAGACATGGGGACTTGGAGTGGGTTTGGTGAGAGGAAAGATAGCATTCTGTATTGGCGCATTAAGAAGCAGTGGGGATACTTCATGGGGTGAAGATGGTTACGTTCGTGTCCAGCGCAGCTTCTTCGGAGACAGCAAGATGTATGCTGTGTCGAGCTGTACGCGACCTGGCCTACCTTTGACGTCTCGGCAGCCCTACTTAATCTCCAACACCAATACATCCGCTCCTCCCGTTACCTCCACCCCCTTCGTCACAGCTGCAACGCGTTTAAGCTCTCCCGGTCACGACAGTGGCGCCATCAACTAGCCCGGGCAAAGACACACCTTCAGCAACAGAAACCGTGGTGGATCAAACTGCCAGCCCAAGTGCGGCATTGGGCTATGAGCTCCACCATCACGAAGGTTAGCGTTGATCAAGTGACAATCGCCGCATCAGGTTCGATCGCGCAAATGAGGCAGTGAACACGGACGCAGCCGATGACTCACTCGATTCGACGGATACGCCTGCAGCAACTGCGATTATCCAAGTGTTGCTGGTGATGCGTTCTACACCGCAACACGCACGGGCAACTGGGAATATGCTTCCGATACTAGAGATTTTCATAATGGAATTGACCATGCCGTACTTAGAGCTGCTGGCAACGACCGCAGCATTCACTCCCTGTGATAAAGCCGACTGCCCAGCCTCAGTCTTGGCGCCCAAAACGCCACGTCTGACGCTCGACTTCGACGATCTTGATGCTGTCGTTCTCGGGACAGGAGACCGAGATGACCTCGCCGCCAGATTGGCTGGGTGGCTCCCTCCACTTCTGTATGAGCAGTCTCGCGGACCATCAACACAGCGAGCGAGTCGTGAAGACGGTACCATCCGGCGAGGTACCGACGTAGTCGTTCTCTTTGTCCATTGGGGCGACGACCAGCTCTAGCAGCTTGAGTATCATGCCGCGAACACACTGGCGTTGTAAGTGCGGCAGGCGTTGAGCTGAAGGCGCTGTGATTTATTAATATAAGATATGAATTAACGTATCGCCCTTAGTGCGCTTGACATTTAAATCGTAGGGTTGAAACGAGTTATTTCATCCTAGTATTTTGCCCGACTGGCTAACCGACTATACAATTGTACTCCCAACATGCATAAAATGGACTTAGCCGACGGTCTTGGCAACACTATTAATAGCTTGGACTTAATATCTAATCCCAGACACAGCGCCTTGCTAAGTCGAGGACCTGGAGGCTGGGTGGGGCAGGCCGCGCAGCGGCGCCCCCCGAGCGCAGCGCAGCAAGCAAGCAAAGAGAGGGGCGGGCCCACGCTGCAGACGGCGCTAGTGTCCTACCTTTGCTCCAATTTAACCGTACTACACAATCTGTACACGTATAAACGTCGATGATATGTTACCTCAGTCGGGCAAAATAACGAGTGCCTTAATCCTTTCGACATGGGTTTAGGCCAATAGACAGGCCCGGCCATTGGCCTGCGGCCATAGCCCGTGGCCTTTGCTAACACTGCTAGCACTGCTAGGATGGCTCCGACGCCGTCCGTAGGTGTTCATGAAGCTGCACGCTGCGTTTGCATGTACAGAAGTCCCTCAAAGTAAGCGTAGGGGGGACCGAGACACGATCTTAGAGGGTGATAAAACAGATGTTTAAAAAGTACTGATATTTAGTTAAGAAGCGAGGCGATCTCGACAGAATGCCTGCGTGCCGCTAGCAGTTCCGAATGGTTGTGGGCGACATCTCGTCGTAGGCCACCTTACTTCAACAAAGAGCGGTGTAGATATCTAGAGCCAGTGTCAGCCGATGTTTGGGGTCTTTGCGTCCAGAGATCACCTTCCTCTGCGTGAGAGTGTACTTAGCCTCGCTCCGAAAGAAGAACGAGGTCTCATCCACGTTGCAGATCTCGGACCGGGCGTACGAGTCCGTCAGCTTTCGTAGTTTCACACGTCCGGCTTCAGCTGCCTCTTGGTCAACTGACGCAGCTTCGCCGTGCTTCCGCTTCTTGGAGATTCCGTGACGTTCTTGCAATCTATACAGCCAGCCCTTAGAGAGCTTCAACGTGGTGTTCTCGCCATACGCGTTCACGCGAAGAGCAATGGCCTTTATTACCTTGCCTGTGATAGCCTCCACCTTGCCGTCCATGGCCTTAAAGACCTTCATAATGCGAGCGTCCGTCTCCTGGATTTGGGGGCTGACGAGCTGCTTGCGCTGTAGCTGACAGGGCCCCATAGCGGCCCACTTAAACTCCCCAGCGATAACATTGCGAGCGGCATCGCGTGAAAGAGAATTTTCCAGCTTGAACGCACGTGTTGCCCACGCTGCGAGCTGTGTGTTGGACAGTTTGCCTTTGGCGCGCATATCCTTCGCATACTTGCACATGGCGATCTTCTGCTCCATATTAAGGCGGATCCGGCGCGGCATGGGGCTGGCGGTCATGGTCGCTTGGAAGAGTGATAGTGTGCATGGAGGGAGGCGTACGTAGCGGGAGCATGAGTTACCTCGTACATTTAATCTCCATTCTCAGTCTTTCAATGGTTTAGTTAGCGAAGAGGCCGGACAAATGATGGGAGATCTTTCCCGCCGCTGCAGTTCATCCAAAATCAGTGCATTTTTGTGATTGGCCAGTTGAACCTATTTGTACCGTAGCAGATATGGCGGGGTATTACGTAAGTAGGTGACGCTTACTTTGAGGGACTTCTGTACTATTATAGGATGAATTGATTCTGTCGCAACATCTTTGTATCAATGACTGTCGCATTAATTTGCAAGTTCTACTTCTGGCGGCCAGTCGTTTTGCAATCCGATTTAAAATCCAGAGCTGTTCTGGGCGATTGCACGCCTTTGTTGCACATAAGTATCCGTATCCATTGCCATGCATCAAGTAGTGTTCATGATTGCAAGACGACGTGAGTCGTTTATGAACAAAGTCGTAAACATAACCATTTTCGGACCAGACTAACCTTTCTTTGCATTTATGTTTACCGGCGTACGTAAGCGTAAAGCATTTTATTAATACCAATGTACTGTACATTTCATTGCACAGTACCGTACCGTATTGTAAACCCTCAGGTTGCACGAAAACACTTTCATTCTTGAATTTGCATCCCGATGCATCTCTTCTTTCTGACAGCCGTAGCTTTCGTCATTACCAGTGTATCTGTCGACGCATCAGTCGCGAAAGATCCACGAGGACACGCTCCCAACAGGACTGAAGTCGATACCGTAAACGCGAGTTCAAGCACGAGGCTTTTACGAAAAAATAGTACTGTTGATCTAGTCGGCGAGGAGAGAGCACCCAGCATCGTAGAAAATATCAAGGCGTTGGTCAAGTCTTCAGCGGTGACTCCAGCGAAGCTTCAGCAATGGCTAGACGAGCGACTACCTGCGGGGCTAGTGTTCAAGAACATGAACCTTGACGAACCAAATATCTTCTCTTTGTTGCATGAACCCAACTTTGCTAAGTGGGTTCAGTACGCCGACGACTTGAGTGCCAAGTCATCTCATAAAGAATCTTCAGTGATCTCCACCCTGACATCATTGCACGGCGACAAAGTTGTCTACGACACAATTCAAGCTGCTAAACTGTATCCACAACTGAGTGAACTCGCCCTTAAATTGGAAAAGGACCAGATACGCTTCTGGATTGCCACTCGAAAAGACCCCTCGGTGGTTTTTGAGGCCCTCAACCTTAACTGGGCAGGGATATCCATCTTCCCAAAACCTGAATTTTCCGCTTGGCTCAAGTACGTGGACGATGTAAACGCAAGACATCCCAAGGAAGCCCCATTGTCGATTATTCCTACGCTCAAGCAACGTTTTTCTCGAGGTGACGAAGCCGGCACAGACGTACTCCTTAAACTGATTGCGAACGGGAAAGCAACGACAGAGGCCAAAACTGTCGCCAACAAGGTAGAGAGTGCACTGTTTGACTTCTGGCTCAACAGTCGAGAAACGCCCGACAAAGTTATGGATGCGTTCAAATATGGCACTACGACTCAAGCTTTCTTGGGGAGTCCACGGTGGAAAGAGTGGGAAAGGTACTTGAGCGCTTACAATGCGAGATACCCTGAAAAGAAGGCCACAGCGATAGAAACGTTAACGCGGAAGTATGGAGATGCACAATTACTCGACACGCTTATCGGCGCGAGCTCGAAAGGTGAGACGAAAACTCTTGCAGCCAAGTTGCAGGCACAGCAGTTCGATAGGTGGATGAACCTTAAAGAGTCTCCCCTCGACGTCTACAACAGGCTACGGTCTTCATATGGGGATACCGCCTTCTTCAACGAGCCGCAACTCAATGTGTGGGTCTCCTACATGAATGTGTTCGTCGACAAGAACCCCAGCAAGGTGGACAAAATGTTCTTGGAGTTAGGTGACACCTTTGGGGACATGCGTCTCTTTCGAGTCCTTGGAGAAGCCAAAAAGTTCCCCAATTTGGAAAGCACTGCAACCAAGCTGCAGATGGAGAAGGCTTCGACTCTTTTTGCCAGCGGAAAATCCCCGGAGGGTATATTCAAGGTGCTAGCACTTGACAATGTCGGAGATGATATTCTCAGCAACACGCTGTTCCACAAGTGGCTGGCATATCTGCAGAAATTCAACAAAGAGCACCCAAACAATCAAGAATCGTGGTTTGACATGCTCCGTATTAGTTACCAACCGTTCGGCGTCGAAAGGATTATCGAGACAGGAAGGAAAAATCCACTCACAAGATTGATGGCTGAAAAAGTGGAGAATGCGTATCACAACTACTGGTTGGATATTAAGATGGAGCCTAAGACAGCCTTCCGCTCCCTGCATCTCGACGAAAGCGGTGAGAAGCTCCTTGCCGACCCAAAATTCAACACGTGGGTGCAGTACCTGAAAACCTTCAACGACCGATATCCTAATGAGAAGACGACAGTCATCGACGGGCTCAGGGATAACTCTCATGACATAGCTCTACTCCGAATGTTTTCAGCCGCGAAGAATGATCCCAGCACGGAGAAACTCGCTACTGATCTACAGAGTGCGCTAATCCTCAAGTGGCAAGATGCGAAGAAGACACCAGAAGAACTAAAGAGAGTGTTTGTTGGTGTGCCAGCCGCTGATGAAATGCTCGACCGGTACATCAAGCTACTGGCGGTGGCGTCATCTACGCCATAATCTATTCCACAGAGTAGAGCTATCGAATGTGATTCTTGATAATTGCAATTGAATAGATGCTGCATTTTTACGCGTATCAGGTCTTTAAAGCGGTTTCAGTATCGCCATATAATTGTGCATGAACGTGCTCGACACTAAGAACTCCAGCTGCAAATTGTCCTTTGAGTTAGATGATACCTCTGAGGTCATGCAGCTGTTCAAAATGGCAAGACGTTCGTGTCTTTCGGATCCTTGAAGCAGCCACCAAGTAATTTGACATTTAAAATATTGAAATGAAGCTGCAGTGGGAGAAGGTCCAAAGTGTTGTTCCTATTAATAGATGTGAAGGAAACGCAAAAAAACTTTAAAAAAAATCCTTTGCCGACACATGTTGGCAACAGGGAACAATTTCACAAGGTAGAAGCTGTAAGCAATGTAGGAAACTTTTACTGTACCTGAGCGAGAAAAAATATTTGGTGTCAAATTCAATGAGCCACTCGCATGCAAATTTTCTGTTATTTTAAAAAGAAACTTTATTGGGCCTACATCGTACGTAAGTGGATTATCACTAAAAGAAGTGCTTTCAATGATTCTGCTTAGGTTTTTGTGTATCATAAAATTACCGGTATAGAAAGAATAAATATAGGTATTCCAATTGGCTGAGCCTTACATGTAATACTTTCTGATAAGTAATGGTCTAACAAAGCCTTCATATAAAACATAAATGCAGCATAATTAGCATTTATGTTTTATATGAAGTCTTTGTTTCACACCTAATCTGCAAAAGAAGGAGCCCGAGCGACTTCTATTACAGTTACCCCCCCCCGTACTCATATGTTGTAAACGACAATATGTACATAAATAGAGCGACTCGTCTATCTCCACATGGGATGCACAGGTGTAGCAGAAATATTTACAAAAATCGAGCAAAAATGACAAAGACGGCCTAGGCAGGAAAGCCAGCTTGTTGCTAAGTACGAATAGTTTTGTGTCTGTGGAGTCTCCCCCTCATTCGAAAAAATAAATAAAACGATTATGGCGCCGCGAAGGGAGACGCGCCGCAAGGCTGAAGCGTTCCGAACGCGCCTTGAGGGAAAGAGTACTGCCGACAGGCACCGCCTGCTGGCAGAGCACCGAGCGTTTTTGAGTGGTGGGAGGCAAAATGATGCCGACTTCGGAGACGAGACGAGGGACACGAACGCTGAGGGGCCGGAGCGCGTACCCGCGTCAGGAATACAGCGCCCTCCCACGTGAAAGACCGCCTCATACATCGAGGCCGCAAAGCAGCGCATGGCGGACCGCCTGGCTGAAAAAGCCGCGGCGAAGAAGAAGATGGGTGCGAAGAAGAAGGGCGGTCCGTCCTGCAAGACCAAGACATCAACGCGAAAGAGGTATGTAGTGTTCATGAAGTATATACAACGTGTGAGGACTGAACTGATGTTATATTCATGCTATATTATCCTAGCCCGGTCAAACAGAAGATATCATAGCGACAGCACTCTGCCCTAACTCGAAAAAAAAGCTTAGGAGTCCAGGGCGCTGGTGCGAGCTGAATCAGCAGCCGCACTTCGATACGCTTCGAAAGCGAAAAAGCGAGAGCGCAGGAACGACGAAGCCGACACACGTAAACGCGCCCCTTGCTGATCTGAAAGAAAAAGATCAGTGGAGACTGCTGGCTTGTCGGAGACGACGACTGCCACGGGTGCAGAAAAACGCAAAAAGAGCGACACGACAAGGTTAGTCACGCGATCATGGAGCATATACTACTTGTGTTGACTAACATAATGTTGATTTTTTTGTGCATTTCAATTTGCAGCCTCTCGTCCCCGGCGCCGGGTCGGCGAGGACTCCGGTTCTCACGTGGTGGATACCACCGCGGAAGTAGATGACTTAAACACCTCTGATGAGTGGTCGGTGGGCCTACCTGAGCAATCACAACAACCTGTTGTAACGAATGCTTCTACAGCGCAAGTACAGGCTCCTGACTCTCCAGATGGGTAAGTTGCTATATCATGTTCTATGTAGGACATATTTGAAAACGATTATGTTGTATATTAACGCATTACTATGTGAAATGTTATAGAAGCAACACTGTCGAATCCGCCGAGCACGGACCAGATGAGGCTTCGCGCGCGGATGCTACTTCTGACGACGAGGCACTGAATTCCGAGCTTGATGGATGGGACGGTGCTGACTCAGACGAGTGGTATATCGAAACGGAGACGAATTTGAAGACGCTGTCAGGTGTCATTGATGCGACTGCATCGCTAACACCAGAGGGTGATTATGAAGAACCTGAAGAGAAGCCTGACCAAACTCCTTCAGATGAAAGTGATGGAGCTTTGAATGGAGCGAGTTGCTACAGAGAGCAATCGATACTACAGCCAGCATTTGAACGAGCGCGTGGATACAATGCATTAAAAACGCTTCGGTGAAGGTGAGGATACGTCCAGGGATGAAGTACTGCTCGGTGAAACAAAAAGACAAATCAAGGCGAAGGAAGTATTGCATTGCATTGGATTATTTGTGGCGAGAATGCTTTGCCCTCACAAGCGACGATTCGCTGATCAGTGGGCCAAGCCTGATGTTGGTGCTATCCCAAAATGGACGTTCGGGCAGTACACGTCAAAGGCGCGTTTCGGTAGGATAATGCAGAGCCTGTACTTTACGGACAACGCCGACTCGAGGGCGGAGACGGATCGAGCCTGGAAGGTGCGATTTGTGGTGGACACGCTGCAACAGCAGGTACCACACCCCGCCTGTCATGTCGTTCGATGAAGTCATGATCTCGTCACGTAGCCGCAACAATGTGGCCCGCCAGTTTATGAAAGATAAGCCTTACAAATGGGTACGAATGTCTTCATGATGTGCTGCGCAGAAACCGCGTATTGTCTTCGGTAAGTATCAGCGCTATCCTGTGAAGGACAGCGTTTTTTTTTCTAAGTTCCAAATGTTGTATAATCTTATTTTCTAATATGTATTTATGCTGTATATACGCCATGAAAGACTTGGAGAATTATGCGGAGCTGATCAGCACACGGATGAGCTTGGTGGTGGGGCTCCAAAGCAGCTCTCTGCTGACCCAAATTTTGGACCGAGCGCAGTCTTGAGGAACATGACCAAAGTCCTTCCCCCTATAGAGGAAGGCATCGATCACGCAGTCATCACCGATCGGTTTTACACGTCGGCTCAACTTTCGTTACAACTGCTGTACACCGTCGGCATAATACAAACGAATAAGAAGAGCTTCCCCCCAGTGCTCGTTACGAACGCTGTTCCACGACCGGCAGGAGCTTCCAAGGGGGCCGTTACCGTCGCAGTTGCCAAATGCTGCCCTAAACTGCAAGCTATGATTTGGTGGGATTGACTGCTTAATTTGGCATGACTTGTGGAAGAACGGCGAGGAGCGCCCTCCTCCGCTTGTTGGCAGAGGCTGCCAAATACGCCAGCTCGGCAAAAAACGAAGCCATTCGCTAAAACGTGACGGAAAGAA